CATTTTGGCTTGATTCCTATAATCATATGATAACCATCCTATCCCACTGACCATAAAAAGGCTACATTACCGTTTGTTTAGGGTTGTAATCAACCAGAAGTTGTTTTGAAAGAGACGATTTTTCCTGTTCTCAATATGTAAAGATTGCTTGAAAGTTACACAAGAATTCTTAGTTTGAAATATCAAAAGGTTGTACAAAAGACACAAATGAACAGCATTTATTCAATGCTTTAGAATTACTTAATCTGTATCGTTTTTCTAAGACCTGTCAGTAATAACAAATCTATACAACATGATATAATTACGTTTAAGCCTATGTATCTTATTTTTATCTTCCAATATTGAACGTTCCAGATAACTACCATGTCAATCTATGATAAAGCATAATTTTCTTGCCACCAGGTGTGGTCAGAAAGCGTTTTTTTGTTGTGTTAACTAAAGTTTCGTATACTGTCAACTTTCCATTTAGATCGTAGAGAATAAATACTTTAACGATGTTAGTGTTTCTGTCACACTTGCTCTTTTGATAGCCTTTGGACACGTAAAGCAATTACCACAGCATTAAAAGACTACATGATAATTGTGTTTACATGGCATCCTGTGTTAGCTTTGGTACATTTATTGTGTTTTTAAGTTTAAAGTATGAGCAAAATTTCTCAGGTTGGTGATTGTTACTAAGCAGGAGTTTTTTGGGTTTTTTTTCATTCTTCCAAGTATTGAAAAGAAAACCTTTTGGACTTTGGGAAAACATGTTGTTTGGTTGTACTATCATACCGTACAGTAAATAATGACTTCCTTGTGATACATGTTTCTTAAACAGACTTTAAAAAATGTTGAAGGAACCCACATGCTTTACCACATGTTATAAATTACACATGACGAATGAGTGTATGAAAAATAATGATGTGACGCGTGAGTGTATGTAATGATGTGACGTGTGAGTGTATGTAATGATGTGACGTGTGAGTGTATGTAATGATGTGACGTGTGAGTTTATGTAATGATGTGACGTGTGAGCGTATGTAATGATGTGACGTGTGAGCGTATGTAATGATGTGGCGTGTAAGTGTACGTAAAGTAATGATGTGGCGTGTACGTAAAGTAATGATGTGGCGTGTAACCGTACTTAAAGTAAAGATGTGACGTGTATGTGTGTGTTGTGTTGATGTGACGACGTTGTAGTGTATACGCTATGATAATGATAGAATTGTCTGGAAAATATGTGAAGGTTTTACATTTAAATTGAAACGTGAGTGTGAATTAACATATAATGACAAGCTTGATCTAGTATTATTGCTTTTTTAAAAAATTCTTTTTTAAATATGTATGATTTTTCTTCAAATCTATGAAAACAATTGGAACAATGTTTATACTTTAATATGCATAAAATGGATAGACTGAAATGCTAAGATGAACTAAAATTCAATCTTTAAACACTCACCTATTTCTATTGGAGGTACAATATACATCCGTTCTATCTAATGGTCCTCTGGGTAACTGACTTGTAGCAATAACTGTCATGATGGCAGGAAAGGGGCGTCTCACTACCCGATTTCCATTTACCTTTATGACTGACGTGTATTGATAACGCTGCACAACTAAAGATACGATATCTGGGCAGGTTATTTCCGTCTACAGCGCTTTATTCTTCATTCCCTATATGTCACAACACGCTGATATCCAATTATTATTTATTAACTTGTGAGAAGGCAATATTGAGGCATAATGTGTCAAATCAAACACTTGACATCTGTTTTAAAAGGTATAATAAGTTGTCTGTTAACAATGATATACGCTTAAAACAACAAAATAGGACATCATATAGTGTTTATGAAATGTAAACAACAGACAACCAATTCAGATCCAGGTTAAAGGGACAGATTAGATATTCAGCGCAGCTCAGTTTGACAACACACAGTGGAGATACTGATCCGTCAGATAAATTGACTAGAAGACACACGGTCGATTGACACTTCCACTAAAAATATATAGCCTCTTAGCTCATACAAAGAAGAACGAAATAGATATCAGTTACAGTTTGATTCACATATATGGAACCTAAGACGAGACTTAAGAAAGCCTTAATTAGTCGAAATAAATATCCAAAATGCATATATAATACCAGAAATATGTAGTAGATGGATCTTAATAGCGAGTGCAGCTTTAATGTACATCCATTGCGCGTGGAAAAAATTAAAAGTGGAAAAACCCTAACAAAAATGCATTTGTGAACAGTTTGTATGGCGTGTTAAACGTCTATGGGAACGAACTTGCACCCCTTTGTTGATTGACTTGTTTTCACACGAGACTGAATTTATCGCACAGCTATCTAGATCAAATAGATCTTACATACCAAGAGATTTACTTTCCACATCTATCGAATATAACTTCAATAAATCCGCGACATGACAAATTATTCTCCCATTATCAGCCATTTCCCATCATAGACAGCTTTTCACCAAGCTGTATCACTAGTGTGATGATTTACATTTTCCTCTCGTGAATTTTCCATTTATAACTTAGATCTAATCATCCAAATTATCCTTTGTTATATGGCACATCTTAAAATATTTTACAAGCACATTTTATGAAATGTAGAAATAATGCTATATAAAGGCAAACAAATTTTGTTTGCTTCAAGTGTACTGTAATAACCCTTTTTGACTGTGTAATTGCCGGGTTTGTGTAGTGTGACTGGCGCATTAATGTAGTGTAACTGACGCGTTAGTGTAGTGTAACTGACGTGTTAATGCAATGTAACTGGCGTGTTAATGTAGCGTTGCTGACGTGTTTATGTAGTGTGACTGGCGTGTTAATGTAGTGTGACTGGCGTGTTAATGTAGTGTGACTGGTGTGTTAATGTAGTGTGACTGGCGTTTTAATGTAGTGTAACTGGCGTTTTAATGTAGTGTGGCTGGCGTGTTTATGTAGTGTGACTGGCGTGTTAATGTAGTTTAACTGGTGTGTTAATGTAGTGTGACTGGGGTGTTAATGTAGTGTAACTGGCGTGTTAATGTAGTGTGGCTGACGTGTTAATGTAGTGTAACTGGCGCGTTAATGTAGTGTGACTGGCGTGTTAATGTAGTGTGACTGTCGTGTTAATGTAGTGTGACTGGTGTGTTAATGTAGTGTGACTGGCGTTTTAATGTAGTGTAACTGGCGTTTTAATGTAGTGTGGCTGGCGTGTTAATGTAGTGTGGCTGACGTGTGTGTGTAGTGTAATTGCCGGGTTTGTTTAGCATAACTGACGTGTTTATGTAGTGTGACTGATGTGTTAATGAAGTGTTGTGCATATCATATGTAGTGTGACTGACTTGTTTGTGTAGTGTATTTGACGTGTTTATGTAGTGTGACTGACTTATTACGTTGTGTGATTGGCGTGTGAATGAATTGCTATGACTGATGTGTTTATAACATTAATTGTGGCTGATGTGTTTTTACATATAGTGTGACTGGTGTATATGCCATGAAATGTGACTGATGAATGTACTAAATGAAGTGTGACTTATGTCTTTATTACATGTAGTGTGGCTAATGTGTATATCACATGGGTCGTGACTAACGAGTATATGGCATAAAGTGTGACTGTGTGTAGAGGGAATGGTGTGTTAATTAAATGCCATGTGACAGATGTGTATATGATATGAAGTGTGACTGATGTGTCTATGACAAAAAGTGTGACTAATGTGAATATGACATGAAGTGTAACTGACGTGTGTATGACATGCGATATATCTGACGTGTATATGACATGAAGTGTTACTGATGTGTGTACGAAATGCAGCGTGACTGAGGTGTATATGACATGAAGTGTGACTGACGTCAATGGTATATATTACATGTAATGTTTGATTGTTGGGTTTTGCCGGCACGTGCACAGCCTGTGTCATTTTGAGGCGGGGTATCCTTGAAAAAGTAAGTGAATATCCTACTGGACAACATAAAGAAGATTGCCATCCAAACCAATCAGGGCTAAGTGTATTGCTCAAGAATACAACCACTACAGCGCATACCTGTCGGAGACGTATATCACATGTGTTTTGATATAATGTGTGTTACGTACATCACGTGTGTGTTGATATAATGTGTGTGACGTATATCACATGTGTGTTGCCATAATGTGTGTTACGTACATCACGTGTGTGTTGATATAATGTGTGTTACGTACATCATGTGTGTGTTGATATAATGTGTGTTACGTACATCACGTGTGTGTTGATATAATGTGTGTGACTTATACCACATGTGTGTTGACATAATGTGTGTTACGTACATCACGTGTGTGTTGATATAATGTGTGTTACGTACATCACGTGTGTGTTGATATAATGTGTGTGACGTACATCACGTGTGTGTTGCCATAATGTGTGTTACGTACATCACGTGTGTGTTGATATAATGTGTGTTACGTACATCATGTGTGTGTTGATATAATGTGTGTTACGTACATCACGCGTGTTTTGATATAATGTGTGTGACGTATATCACGTGTGTGTTGATATAATGTGTGTGACGTACATCACGCGTGTTTTGATATAATGTGTGTGACGTATATCACGTGTGTGTTGATATAATGTGTGTGACGTACATCACATGTGTGTTGATATAATGTGTGTAACGTACATCACATGTGTGTTGATATGATGTGTGTGACGTACATCACATGTGTGTTGATATAATGTGTGTGACGTACATCACATGTGTGTGTTGATATAATGTGTGTTACGTATATCACATGCAGTATCACTGATGTGTAAATGCAGTGTGGCTGACGTGTTTATGTATTTTGACCGATGTGTACATGAAATGACATTAGGACGACGTGTGTATTTCATGAACACGATTTGACGTCTAATTACAACTACATCCATGAGAGTACATCTGCATTTGATTACTACGAGACCAGCTTGATCAGCGTGGATAACTGAATTGTGTGATGAAATAGCCTATTTTATAATAAATTATCAAATAAAAAGATCAAACTGGCTCTGAATACTTACGAAAGTATGATTTTGGCTCATGCTTCCAAACACAGGAACCGTTGAAGTCTAGCACTGACCACTTCTATCTTCTATTCACAAGCTTGGCATACACATACACATGGATAGAACGTGCTTCTGAAATGCGGTATTGATCTGTTTCCAGTAGGATTTATATCACCGTGTAGTTGCGATGCTCTCACGTTTGCCAAACCAGAACACACGAGTCAGCTTCTATACATGATACAGAATGGTAAATTCGAACCTGTATCATTTAATTTTAGATACACATGATGAAGAATCGGTTACCAGACGAAGACATTATGGTTTTGAATTCAGCGATGTATCTCCAGTACCATTTTAGATGTCGACTGAGGGTGGGTATTGATTTCGCCAGCTTTGTAGTCATGACGTAGTCGTAATCATCCAGCCTGGTTCTGACGTGATAGTACGAGAGACACATGGTTTCTTTTCACACCAGAGTGTACTGTGTCCCTCTGTGCATAATTACCGATTTCTCCGCTCACTCGCCCCTGCCTACAATCGTAACACTCTGTATTAATTTTCCTATACTGATTCTATTATCTGACTTTTTGCGCCTAATTAAAGTGAGCGTATGGCAATCTCCCGTCAGTATTTAGACATTTTCCTCATCTTGAAGAAAAGACATAATGAAAAAACAGTCAACTAATACTTGTAATGACACACAGATTATGTACGTATAACGCTAACGTCTTCAGTCTCCTTTAAGCCAACAATGCCACTCGTGCGCAATGATTTCCATATGTCGTGAAAGTGTTGACATCATTATGTACTAATAGAACATCAAACATCAACCCTACATCTCGTCTCAATTTCTGAGACATGGAAATTTCCAAGTTCATCAGACAGCGAAATATGCCATTCTATAAGGCAGGATTACTGAATTATGTTGTCAAAACTCTGTAATTAATCATCATTAGGTTCATAAACCACATGATAACAGTTACATAACGTTGTGTTTGATTTTTACCACGAATTCTTGTTCAAATGTTACCGGCTATATATGTAACAATACAGTGTACATGGAATTCCATTAGTGAAGCTTTCAAAGCTAACAAGTCGTCAATTTCAGGTGGCTAGCCACAATACCTTGTGTCTCTCACCAAGGATATTTTTGAGAATGGAATGGGAAATAAGATAATGTTATGTATTTTAAAATATTTCCGATGTGAAATTTAAGTAAAGCAACTTTTCCTAACTAACGGACCTACAGAACTATATTTTTCTGTTGCGTGCATAGAAACCTTTTTATTACCGATCTAAAATGTCGAAGAAACCTCAATGCCGGAAGCATTTAACACGTGTAAATTAGCATATTTATCACTTCCACGAAACATTGTGCTTATATTTACTCTCTCTGTCTCTGTTAGCAACTGTGGCCCAAACCACTTAACACACATAAAACGACATTTGACATAAATCATTCAACATTGCTTCACCGGGATCTATGACATACTTAACACAAACGCAAATATCTCTACTAACTTGAACGGGTCATAAGCTTAACATCTACACCACATTTACCATGATGATTATTATTATCTATTATTATTGCATTCTTAACGTCCCGTCAACACATAAAAGTCCATTAGGACCATCAACCGGTAAAATACACAGCGATCCCACATATACCATGAGCAGGTCATAAGCTTAACATCTATATCACATATACCATGAGCAGGTCATAAGCTTAACACTTACATCACATATACCATGAGCAGGCCATAAGCTTAACATCTACATCACATATACCATGAGCAGGTCATACGCTTAACATCTACATCACATATACCATGAGCAGGCCATAAGCTTAACATTACACCACATATACCATGAGCAGGTCATAAGCTTAACACCTACATCACATATACCATGAGTAGGTCATACATAAGCTTACATGTAAGTACAAAATTTTATATCGTTTCTGATAAACAAAATCATATGCAACCGGAAAAAAGAGAACCAGCAGGGGAATTTGCCTGTTGAAATATTAAGTATGTCGTATTGGGATTTCTAAACAAAAGGGGAAAAAATGGCGAAGCGGCATACCGACATGTCACAATTATAACGATTTCATATTTTATGAATAGCATCGATTTTTTTTTTCATTTCATAGATATATCTATATAAACTATGTCGATATGTATTATTTTCTAATTAAGTGATTTCACCTAACATTATAACAACATTTCGCAAGATTTATAAAACATTTAAACATTATCATTAGAGAGTGTTTCTACTTCCACAAGACATTACACTAACTAGTGTGCGTTATGTATCTCCATTTGGCAGGTTTAGTGCCCGTGTAAACCCACTGAAGATAATATCTATTTATAGGTCTCGACCTTGATGTGCGATATGATATTACTATAGGAATACATGCAGTAGAGATGGAAACAAGAGAAGTATATTGTTATCACTCCGCGAGGGTTTCGTCACAACAGCAGTTCAAGTACTGTCACGCAATAGAAGCTGAGCAAGAGTGAATTTTAAGAACCCAGAAGTTCAGAACTGAAGTAAAACAAGATATGTTTCTGAAACACTGTGTCCCCGGTTGCAACAAAATTCTGAAGTGGGACATTAAAACTGTACTGTGTAAGGCATGTACTAATTGCATGCACGCTTTGTGAAATAATTACATCTCACAGTGCAATAGCAATTTTTTTTCAAATGTAGGTCAAAGGTCACGTCTAAGGTCACATGGTGAAGGATTTTGTACCACCGGAAAGGTCAGAAGAAACACACATGCCAAATATTAAAACCCTGTCTCGTACGGAGCAATAGTTATAGACAGACAGACACATCTATAAATCTTTAACAGACGTAATCTCCATAGGCATTCTTTATATGGACGTTCAGAAAGTTCCAAGTTAAGTATTTCATGAAGATTTGAAATAACTGAGTTTAATTTTTTAAGAAATACGTAAGGAATGCGTATTTTTATTTTCTTTGTCTACCGTATATTTCAAAGTCATGTTTCCTTCCTTTCAAGGACTAGAAAGAAGAAAAAAGCTTTGTGACAGTTTCCCTTCTATATCTTTTACGAATCTGAACCATATCATCTCTTGTTTTGATAAGTATATACAGACTTTACACAGGTTTGTAGTATATTTATTGAATTATTTGTTGTAACCAAGACAAGTGGATCGAAAAACAGACCCACCCACACACACACACACACCACACACACACCCTCTCTCACACACACACCCTCTCACACACACCCCCCACCTCCCTTCCCCTATGCGGATATACATTGGCATTCATTTTCGATATCGATATCGCCTTGACCTTTAATGATATCACCAATCGACGTTGCATGTATCGATGTACAATATGTATGTGCATATACATATGTATATCGAATACTTTGAATGTGGCCATAGTTTGAATATACGTACCCATTCGGGATGGTGCCATTGATCGCATAAATCAATAACACTGCATGTAAACCATTACTCACACAAACAGCTGTTAATATTTGATGGGTAAAGTACGTATGATCTATTCACTATATGAACCGTTAAACATTAAAAGGTGACATGAAGTGATATTGATTGAATTTCACTCTGTTTCAGTTAACAGTTAACACGTCAATGTACAATATGGTCGTAAACCCCTAGGTAATTAATAGCTTATGTACTTTTATCAAAAGGTTTCTGTGAGATTGCAGATTGTATATTTTAACAGATTATACCATTGAAAACAATATACAAAAATATGTTATCGAGAACAGATCTCTGATAGTTGCATTGCACTGAAATTAAATTTTTAATATTGTTAATTCAAATGCCGGAATTCTCCTTTTATTCAATAAGAGTTTTTTTTAATACTTCGATACCAGCGTTCGCTTTTACAAGTATGTATGTTCTTAATAAGGTAGCATTATTAAATTAATCGGCTGATATCACTTCTATGTCTGTATATACCAATGTTTTATTAATTTGTACTGTAATATGTGACACTCGTATTGTTTGTAAAGATAGATATATGATTCCCGTATACATTGTGTATATCGACTGTGATTTCTTCCGGGTATGACGTCAAAAGTAATATATGGAAATTACCAACACAATTAGAGCTGTTATTAGAAAAGTAATATTGCAAAGGACAACATTTTTACCACAACTTCGAATATAATCTGTTACTTTCTTTCACAACTGAATAAAGGATTAATTTGTATCTTTATTTGTTGATAAGATAATGATGATATTGCATGCTTGAAAGAAGAGAGAGAGAATCTGAATCCAGGTCTAACCTATGTTGAGAACTTAACGTCGAAAATAAATGGACAGAAAGCATATAATTTGGAACAATAACGTTATTTCTGTTTTAGTAGATAACAGTTGGTGGCAAGAGAAAGTTAATATGGAAATTTCTTCTCTCTGATAACTTTTGTTAAAGCTGTCTCATAGTATAATACAAAATTATTTAAAAATTAGAAAAGACCAGTAAAGATAAGTGTCTATTTGAGTCTTTTCATAAGAAATTCATTTCTTTCTATCATCCGTTTTGACAAGTGACACACATTTTTGTTGATTTCTACAAACTGGATGTGTATATGTAAATAGTGACATATTATGTATATATATATGTGTGTGTGTGTGTGTGTGGGGTGGGGGGGGGCCTAAAGATGGCATGAAAACGTTAGCGGAATACATTTGTGGTGTTGATTTAATTATTTTCAAATATATATATATACTGAAAGGATAAAGAAACGCAGGGTAATATTTATTCCGATATTTTGAAAACGCGTTCTCCAAATAAAGTGAAACTTTGTGGATTGAGTAATTAGGTCATATTACACCTTGTCATGTATCGAAAATTTAGTCACGGTACAGTGCGCAGCTCTGGTAAATGGAGGAAGGAAAAAACAAGAATATCGTGCACCGTGTTATTCTGGTCTCATGCAGCGTTGGCCAAGTCACTCTTTATACAGACCAACTGCTTCTCTAAAATAAATTGAGAATTTGATTCGTTTTAAGAATGGCACGGCTCACAGAAGTTCAGAGGGGTCAGGCCATTCAAATGCTGATGCAAGGAAAGCTGCAAAATCAGGTTGCTAGGCACTTTGGTGTTAATATTTCCACCATAGAACGTCTTGTAAGACGTCTTCGGGGAAACTGGGCGATTGGCCGATCGACTTAGGTCAGGACGTCCACGCGTAACGTCACGACGTCAGGTTCGCTATATTGTCGTCTCTCATGTGCGTAATCGGCGCCTTACTGCCGTTGAGAGTGCACTTTATGTTCGTGGAAATCATGGGCGTCCTATAAGTTCAAAAACTGTAATCGATTACGAGTAAGGTCCACAACTTACCCGTGCTCGACGTCAGCGTCGTATGGCCTGTGTCGCTGCACATGCCCCCGACGGTTTCCAATGAGGCAGTGGAGACAAGTTTTCTTCACGGACGAGTCTCGATTCTGTCTTTATCGATCTGACGGCCGTCAACGTGTCTACCGATGTCGTGGCGAACGTTTTACGGACGCTTGCGTTGTAGAGAGGGATAGGTTTGGGGGCGGTTCAGTAATGGTGTGGGGAGGAATCTCACACGGGTTAAAGTCACAATTGGTTGTTATTGATGGCAATTTAACAGCAGCTAAGTATAAAGATGAG